CAGGCCATTTAAACAAATGGTATTTCCACTATTGGATAACCTTTGAGAAAAGGTTAAATTTAAATCCACAACTTTCACCAAATACTAGGTTAAATTCCAAATGGATCAGGGTAGTATATATGAAAGAAGCAGAAGCAGCAGGAGCAGAACTGGAAACAGAAGCAACAAAAGCAGAAGCAGCAGGGGCAGAAGTAGAAGTAGGAGCAGGAGCAGAAGTAGGAGCAGAAGCAGAAGCGGCAGAAGAAGCAGAAGTAGGAGCAGAAGCAGAAGTAGGAGCAGAAGCAGAAGCGGCAGAAGAAGCAGAAGCAGAAGCAGAAGTAGGAGCAGAAGCAGAAGCAGAAGCGGCAGAAGCAGAGCAGAGGAGGAAGTGGAGGAAGAGGAGGAGGTTGGGGGGAGGAGAAGGAGAGGAAGGATAAGAAGGAGGGAGAGGAGGAAGAAGAAGAAGAAGAAAGGACAAAATAAAAGGAAACCAAAAAAAGTACAAATTTATTTTTAATCTGAGAATGGAGAAATATTTCTAATGATGTCCATATAGACAGACTATATGAAGCAAAATGTTTTCAGACCTTGGACAACAGGCAGTGCAGAACTGCGATCCCTGAGAAAAAAGAAACAGATGAGGTAAGGCCTATAATTGTCCTTGCTTTCTAACTGGAAGCACTTTATAGACTATAGTGCAGAGGAGGAGAACTCAAAGAGACCATAGCAGGCTCTCTGAGATGAGGAGATAGATTGCAGTTCAAGGAGGCAGAGGTAGCTGGGAGAACTGAAAGCTACACAGAGAAAGAGTTCTAGAAATCTGCACAAGGGGTCCTCTTGAGGCTGTTCCTGGCTGACTCAATGGCTGGCAAAGACTGAATGGGAAGCTGTAAGTTGAATAATTCTCAGAGCTCACACAGAGCTGGGAGATGTTCATGTCCTGACCAGTCATAATGGAGAATTCTCACTGAACGCCCGAAGAATTCAGTAGAGATCCTAAGGATAATGCCTTAGTAAAAGTACTAAACTAGCCATAGAATACTTCAAGATCTGTTTACGCTTAAGCCAAGATCATACTCTTCTTGGGGCACTCACCCTTACAAAGCTTCAAACAAGCCTTTAAAGAATGAAGCTGATCTGAAAGTAATTTAAACTGTCTGCCAGAGAAAAAATATTTTTTAAAAAATTTATTGTGGTAAAATATACATAACATAAAAGTTAGCTTTTAAGTTATTTTAAGTGTACAGTTGTACAATTCAGTGGCATTCAGTACATTCACATTGTTGGGCAATCATCACCCCTCTTCATCTCCAGAAGTCTCTTTGTCTTCCCATTCTGAAACTCTGTATGCATTAAATACTCTCCATTTTCCCCTCCCCTCAGCCCCTAGCAACCACCCATCTACTTTCTGAGTCTATGAATTTGACTACTCAAGGTATCTCATACAAGTGGAACCATACCATATTTATCCTTTTGTGTCTGGATTATTTTATTTAGCATAGTGACCTCAAGTTTCATTCATGTCGTAGCATGTGTCAGAATTTCTTTCTTTGTTGTACAGTCATCTGTCCATGGGCACTTGGGTTGCTTCTACCTTTTGGCTATTGTAAGCAATATTATTATGAACATGGGTGTACATTGCTTTCAGTTTTTTGGAGTATTTATCCAGATATGAAATTTCTGGATCATATAGTTCCATACTTTTTAAAGGAAGACAACAAACTCTTAACACTCAATATAAAGTTTATAGTGTCTAGCAGCCAGTAAAAAAATTAATAGGAATGTAAATAAGCAGAAAAATATAATCCAAAACCAGGAAAATAGTCAATAGGAACATCCAGAAATGACAGAGATTATATAATTAGGAGACAAGGATTTTAAAACAATATGAATGTGTTCAAGGATTTAAAATAAAACAATGAACAGAAAAAATACAAGGTAATAAAAATAAATAAATGGAGCTTCCGGAGATTAAAAAAACCCCAACAATATCTGAAAAGATCAGTGAGCTTAAAGAGTAGCAATAGAAACTTGCTTATAGCAGCGGTTCCTAACCTTTTTGGCCCCAGGGACCCGTGGTCCTATGAGAATCTAATGCCTGATGATCTGAGGCGGAGCTGAGGCAGTGATGCTAGCACTGGGGAGTGGCTGCAAATACAAGCTTCACTGGCTCATTCACTGCTCACCTCCTGCTACCCTGCCCCAGGTCGTAACAAGACACAGACTATATTAGTCCGTGGCCTGGGCGTTGGGGTCCTCTACTCTAGAGTTCACATCAGGTACCTGAAACGAGGACGAGGCACAACCATAGAGTTGCGAAGCCTCCGTGCTTCCTAGAAGGTACACTGGCGGGGACGCTCTGCTCGTGAGCGCTAGTGGGCGGGGGAAAGGCGGGGGAAACTTCCGTTTTAGCTCCCTAAGGTGGGGGTTGACAAGGGGCGTAAGGACTCACCCGGGCTGGCTGGGACCGTGGAGAGGGGAGACCAGCCCACATGGTCGCTGCAAGTGGACAGTTAAGACTTCTTGGAGCAGGCGCCAAGCAGGTTTGGGGAGAAAGAAGCTAGTGTGATGAGAGGGGTGCATGCCGTACGGAAGCCACAGTGGCTCCGACACGAAAAGGTGTCAGGGCTCGGGAGTCGCCCCCGCGCTTTCTGGCCTTCAGGGGAAGTCACAGGACGTTTACAGAGTGTCTTTCCGAAGACGCCAGCTTTTGAATATGTAACGCGCTGTCACGTCTTCAGCACTAAGGAAGAAGAATCCGATTCTTGATTGCCTGGTTGATACTATTGTTTGGTTTTGTTATAGGAGAAAACGAGATACGATTAAAAATTTGAGGGGTTCACATTATTGTGAAGTGGCATTTTAGATTCTGAGTTCCAGATGTATAGTATTCACAGTAGATAATATACCCGTCCTTTCCTCAATGTTGGGGCCATATCAGGACGTTTTTTGGAGCCCTTTCCTGCTTAAGAGGCAGAGTGTCTTTTCACACAATGTTTTTAGGGAACATGAACTGTGTGAGACTTTCTTAAACATGCACTTACAGAAAAAGCAAGGTTCACCGGTAGCCAGAAAAGCACAAGAAAAATTAAAATCATGTGCATCCCATCACGTGTACTCCTGGAGAGTAACAATATTGAATTTATATGTTAAAGAAAAGCTAAATTGGAGGCCACAGTTTGGATATAACCCTAGGCCAACCATTCATAGCTGGGGAACCCGAACTTAAATAGCTAATTTCCAGCAAATACTGACTTGGTCCTGAAATGAAAGTTAAGCTTTCTTGTGTGGTGACCTTGCATCTTCCTAGCCATTCCGCTGCGAAGAAGTAAGCTTGTACAGCACTGCTACTCTAAAGGAATATAAGTCTCTAATAACCAATCACAGTGGAAAAAAGGTGCTTCCTCATTCGTGTCGAGAGAAAAATAATTTTCTCTCAACCCTTCTGAGTTGAGAGAAAAATAATTTTCTCTCAACCCTTCTGAGTTCTTCACTAACACCCCTGCAATAAAAGATTAAGAGAAAAATAAGATTATTAACATTTATACCTCATGTATATATGAGAGATAACCAGGGAAAAGTGAGCAACTCCGGGCTTGGCTTAGAATTCAGGCCTAAATACCGTCTTAATAGGGAAAGGGGTGGGAGGGTGTATGCCTCTTAGAGGAGAGTAAAAGACGAAGGGGCCCTTAGAAGAAGAGAGAAGAGGTCTGATAGTTTGTGACAAAATTTGGGTGTACTGTTGACTTCTATTCTTATCTCCTGTGACAAGAGTCAATCTTCCCTGGTTGATGAAACTCCCTGGAAGGGACTTAAGACAATTTTTAGTCCTTTTGGAGGATCTGTCTTTAGGCAGATAAGGGGAGTTCACAGAAAGGCTCTTTCTACATTTACTATTTTTCAAGTGCCTGCAGCTCAAAATAATATTCCAAAGGGACATATTTGGGGGTGGTGCATTCTGCTACCCTTCACATACTTTAAACTGCCTAGAGCCAAGCTTCTTAATGCTTATGAGTTTTGAGATCTCCTTGTTTGCAGTTTGTTTTTCACGCAATAAAAAATTCATAGCAAGTAAAGCTGAATTTCTTTTGACAATAATTACCTCCTTGTATATAATAGGTAGCCTAAAGTCTCAGATTACTGCCCTAAAATCATTTTTACACTCCCTGAGCTGATTCTGTATGATATAGAAATAAATGAAGACCACCCAAAGAACAAACACTTTCATTCAGAACCTGCTATAAGCAAGGGAGTCAGTTAGCCACCATCACTTGTGTATTGCAGAGTCTCCAAGGGAGGAAAGGGAAAGCTTTACAGTGATAAAAAGGGAAAGCTGAAATATGCTCAGTTTGGAATTTGTCATCTTGGGAAAGCCGGAGCACATTAGATTAATAGAATCAAAACATCCTAGCTGGTAGGATAGTAGGGAGCATGTTTAGCTTTCTCTGTTGGTCCTAAATTGGAGGCTAAATATTAGCGATAAGTTTGCAGTTATTGACCGAGTCCTGATTTAGGGCATATTGCAGCATTGGTTGTAGTTTGAGTTTTGGCCTAGTTGCTTCAGGTTGCAGGTCAGAGTGCTGTTTTTATCTCTTTTTATTCCTTTATGTATTCAGTCTCTCAATGAATACAGAACATAATCTAGGAAGAAGGGGAGAACAAGGCCATAGATTCTTTTAGATATTGCTTTGGAAATTGATCAGCTTCAGAAATTACTAAAAAGACTATTCTAGTGGCTCCTTTCATTTTATCACATAGTCCAGCACCAAACAGCTGAGGTTTGTTGGCCCTGTTGGAATTCCTTGTCCCAGAGTTGCCTAGGGAGTGAGGTTCAACTTTGGACTGGCCTTACTGGTTATCTTTTTTTCCCTTCAGCCTAGCCTGGTAGCTGGGATCCTGCCCCATCTCAGAGATCAGGCCATGGAAGCTGTGTTCCTGACAGCCCCGTGGAAGGTGAGCTGGGTTCCTCCTCCACTTCCTCATTATAGCCTCATTAACATGGCTTTAACTCCTTTTTTATGGTTGAGCCATGTTTATCAATTTGGGGATTTTTCCTTCTTGGAAGGTGAGGTAAAGATCTTAAACTCTGGAGTTCAGACAGGTTCAAATCCGTGTTCTGTTTTAGGTGTATTACTTTCAGCAAGTTACATAGGTTCTCTGGGCCAGTTTCCTTATCTGTAAAATAAGATAATAGTAGTACCTATAGCATAGAGTTGTGAGGATTAAATGAAATAACGTATGTACATACGTGGAGTACTTTGCTTAGTATCTAGTTACATTTTAATCACTCTGTATATTTAGCTATTGTTACCATAGTTGTTCATTGTTTCTATCAGTAAAAATTACTGTGTACCTGCTGTATACCAGATACCATACTTGGTGCTAGGAGATAAACTCTTAACTGAAGGAATTTACAAGATGTTTGGAGAGGTACATATGTAAGTTCTTTTAACACAGAAAGAAATTCAGATCTATTAGTATTAAAGGGTATAATGGAAACTTAGCTAATGAATTTGTAACATTATGATGGGTAATTATAAGAAGTTGAGTTTGAAAGTAAGGAGACAAGCTGGGATGCCATTGCAACAATTTTGAAAGAACAGTCTTGATCAGGAGGGAGGGAGTTGGAGTTGCAGCAGATGGACCATATTGCTTCGGCATGTCTGCATGTTATGAAGCTCTGCCTGCCTTCTCGGCTTCATCTCCAGCCTTCCCCCACAGCCAGAGAATGTGCAATGTTATTCCATTCTTCCATTTCTTTATATTTCCTGTTCTCTTCCTCCACAGGAAACTCACTTATTTATATTTTAAGACTCAACTCAAAAATCATATTCTCTATGAAATCCTCTGACTTCCTACATTAACTACATTACTCTTCCCTGTGTTTCCAACTAGGCCCTCACGGGGGGAGAGGGTGGTGGCTTAAAAGAATGGTTTCAGAGGAGCTATAGAGGCCTAATCCAGGTGCTAAGTTGTGGAGTGATTGGAAGCGAGTGTGCAGTTTTCTTTACAGAAGGTAGTCCAGTAAGGGAACGAGAGAGAGTAGAAACCAGAGGGGAAGGAAGGCACGAGAAACATCTTTTTAACAATAGGAGAGATTTTAGCAGTTTTGCTGGCTAAGGGGAGGGAGTTAGTAGAGGAATGAATGTTTAGGAAAAAACACTCCTGTGTTTCTCTACTTTCACACTTCACTTCACTTCTGATACCAGACGCAGGGTTTTTCCATCTATCAAGTAGTTCATGACACCAGCTAAGTGCCTTGCAATGTAATTCAATTCCGATGCTCTCTGCCTGGACTTAACTTAGGATCCTACAGGTTAGGGCCTCAGTCCCACAAGACTGCCCTTCTTAGATACCAATCACAAGTGTAGTTGGTCACCTGTGCTTCTGAAAGACTGGCTATAAGTTGGAGGTTCCCACGACCCTCTCCTTAGGTTCCATTAATTTGCTGCAGTGGCTCAAAGAACTCAGGAAAACAGTTTACTTACTGGATTATGAGTTTATTATAAAAGGATCTAACTCAGGAACAGTCAGATAGAAGAGATGCATAGGCCAAGATAAGTGGACAGAGATACAGAGCTTCCATTTTCTCTCTAGGCATGCCATTCCCAGCACCTCCGTGGGTTCAGCAACCAAGTTTTCAGTTTTTATGGAGGTTCAGTGCATAGGTTTGATTGATTAAATCATTGGCCTTGGTGGTAGGTTCCATCTTCAGCTCCTCTCTCTTCCTCTTAGTTGGGGTTGGGAGGGAGCCAAAAGTTCTTACCCTCTAATCTCATGATGGTTCTTCTGGAAGCCAGCTCCCATTTTTATGGACTTTCCAAAGGTCACCTCATTAACGTAAACTCAGATGTTGGAAGAGATTTATTATAGGTAATAAAACATTTCTTCACTTTTATGGCTCTGGAGCTATCTCAGAAACTGAGGACAAAAGACCAGATATTACTAGATAATGCTCATTTTCTGTTATTTAGGAAATTCTAAGGGTTTTAGGAGCTCTGTGCCAGAAACAGGGCAAATATACAAAGACCAGATAAACTTTTTTTTTTTTTTTTTACTGTAAATCACAATAGTTGGTCACCTGTGCTTCTGAAAGACTGGCTATAAGTTGGAGGTTCCCACGACCCTCTCCTTAGGTTCCATTAATTTGCTGCAGTGGCTCAAAGAACTCAGGAAAACAGTTTACTTACTGGATTATGAGTTTATTATAAAAGGATCTAACTCAGGAACAGTCAGATAGAAGAGATGCATAGGCCAAGATAAGTGGACAGAGATACAGAGCTTCCATTTTCTCTCTAGGCATGCCATTCCCAGCACCTCCGTGGGTTCAGCAACCAAGTTTTCAGTTTTTATGGAGGTTCAGTGCATAGGTTTGATTGATTAAATCATTGGCCTTGGTGGTAGGTTCCATCTTCAGCTCCTCTCTCTTCCTCTTAGTTGGGGTTGGGAGGGAGCCAAAAGTTCTTACCCTCTAATCTCATGATGGTTCTTCTGGAAGCCAGCTCCCATTTTTATGGACTTTCCAAAGGTCACCTCATTAACGTAAACTCAGATGTTGGAAGAGATTTATTATAGGTAATAAAACATTTCTTCACTTTTATGGCTCTGGAGCTATCTCAGAAACTGAGGACAAAAGACCAGATATTACTAGATAATGCTCATTTTCTGTTATTTAGGAAATTCTAAGGGTTTTAGGAGCTCTGTGCCAGAAACAGGGCAAATATACAAGGACCAGATAAACTTTTTTTTTTTTTTTAACTGTAAATCACAATATCACAAGGGGAAAGAAGGTAAAGGTATAGAAAAGAAAGACTCATTGGATTCAGACCTTGGAGGAGACAGCAGAGAATGGAATCAAAGGCAGAGGAGGAGGGATTAAAAGAAGGGCATCCTGAGGAAGAAGAAGAAGGATGAGTAAAAATGTAGGTACTGTCTGGAGGAGGTGGTGGAGAGTGTGAGAGGAGTTAAAGGGCATATGCCCAGGGCTATTATCTGGTCATAACTGCCATTGCCTTCTGAAAGGGAAAGTGAGCTACCTGTCTACACAGCCCCCTCTGATTACCTCCCACGGGGCATTGACCACTGGATTGTTACCATGTTGATTTCTCCATCTTCCTCCTATGGACCATTCACTCCCCGAGGCAGGGACCAGAGCTGCTATGGGGTTGTACAGTTGTGCACTTAGCAACTCTAGGAAGCCCTATTCACCCAGCCATGAATGGTTTCCTCAGAGTTGAGCAGTGCACAGCCTGAGTAGCTGTATTGTGTGACCTAAGCAGGAGCTGTAACCTTTATTTTTACTTGCCTATAGCATGAAGGCTAACAACTTATTGGTGCTCAGTAAATGTTTTTTGAAGAAACAAGAGTGATAAAGATGTAGAGTACCACTGGTTAGGAATATGAGAGCAAGAGTTGTTGGGAATCATTACGGACCCAACTGTAAAATTAAATATACAGAGATAACTCCATGGGAGGTTAAACCATTTTGTCCCCCAATTCTTGTTATCCTTTATGTAGATGCAGAGAATGCAGATGGCTAAATTGGTCAGGTTGAGACAGTAAAAGGAGAGATTTTCAGGATGGTGGTGAGAGAGAGGGCTGGAGGAAGGCAGGTTTGGTAGGGAAGAGAGAGAGGCCATGTAATTTGGGAGATTCCAATGTCTACTCCAGAAGGAGCTACAGGAAGCTTCTCAGGATGGGGGTGGGATTCCCTGGTCCCTGGTGCCAAGCACCCTTGTTTTGTAAAAATACTCCCTGAACCCACACAATGCCTTGTAAGAGAAGAGAGTATGCTGGTAGACAACCAGGCCTCTGCTCCAAGGGCTGCAATAGCATATGAATGAGACACCTTCCATTCTCGGCCCACATGAGGTGAACACACAGTTGCAAATGGAAACTTCTACTGCGTACATTGTGATGAACACTTTATCTCTCTGGATATACTCTCTACCTTTCCCCACTTTGGGCTGTGCCCTGGGAGACTGACCTTTACATTTACCATCAGTGGCTGCATTCCTCCAAGGCCCTGCCTCCAGCCTTGTACCCTCTCCAACAACTTTCTGGATTCCAATAATCCTTCCCCCTATCTTCCTCTTCCCCAGCATAGCCAGCCCCTGCATACTTCTGCAGGCCTTGTTGCTTTCCGGGAAGCTTCTCCATTTCTTTGTGACTAGTGGGCATACAAAGCTATCCTCAGTAACCTCATTTGTGTTTGCCACCTCTTCCCTATGGGGACCTGGGCAGAAGAAACATATTATTTATAAAAGTTAGTATTGTATAGAGCAGGGGTCAGCAAGCTGATATTGACCTGATAGTAAAGTTTTATTGGAACACAGCCATACCCATTCTCTTACCTGTCCTCCAATGGCTTTATTTTCTGCTGCAGCGGCAGGGCTGAATAATTGCAGCAGAGACCAAATGGCCTGAGAAGCTTAAAATATGTACCATCTGGCCCTCTAGAGAAAAAATTTGTCAACTCTAGTATAGAAGAAAGAATGTGCCTGCCTGGGGGTGAGAAGACTGGAGTTGATCCCTGCCTGAATCTACTTATTAGTTGAATGAGCTTGGCTAAGTCACTTTACCTCATCAAATCTGACCCATAGAATAATAGTAATAGCTTCCAAAGTTATTGTCAGAATTGAAACTATAATTAGTCGCTGTGTTTTCAGGAGATGCTGTCCTTTGAGGATGTGGCTATGTACTTCACCAGAGAAGAGTGGAACAAACTTGACTGGACTCAAAAGGACCTCTACAGAGATGTGATGCTGGAGAATTACAGAAACATGATCTTATTGGGTAATGACTCTGCTTAAAAATTTGACTTTGAGTGCTTTGAGTGTCTAGTCCTTAATCCCTTTTCTGTAATTCCAAAATCAGAAAAAGCTCTGAAAACCAGAAGTGTTTTCATAACTCGTTTGGCTACAAGACCCATCTGGAAGTCATTGGTGGCAAAACCTGATTTCATCTTACAGGAAACTTATCATCCTTATTTTTCCCATTTGGTCTTCATATTTGTTTTGTTTTGGTTTGGTTTTTTTGCATCAGAAATCTCAGTGTGTTTGATTAAAAGTACAGCTCCAAACCCTGTTGGGTTAGGGGTGGTATATAATAGAAAATGACACACCAAGGCACTTTTCTAAAATCTTGAGAAAATTCTGAATCTTGAAACACATCTAGCCTCAAGGTTTTCAGATAGAGGATTGTGGAGGAGGGATAATTTCCTTTTGTTTTAGAGTTTGTTCCTCACCCCCACTGGCCTCTTCCACATCTATAAGACCTCTTGGAGTTGAAAATATTGTTGCTGATTTGGATTCCAAAGGCTAGCTTTTTGTTCTCTTGAAAATCTTATTTGTTTTCTCTGGAAATGGGTTTCTTCTTTGTTTGCAACATCACTAGTTGTGTCTTAACCGACTTCATTTTTGAACCTTCACTGCTTTCGTCTTCCCAGGAGCCAGCCTTTATCTTATTCCAATGCTGTGTCCCACTGTAGGAGTTTCCTGGATAGTTTTCTTTCTAGGACCACATATCAAATATTGTAGACCCCCACACTGACACTGTTGGCACAAAGTCTGTCATGAGATCGTTGACTTACCTTTGGATTTGTTAATATTTCTTTTCCCATTAAAAATTCTAAGAGCATATTTGAATACATGGAAGGTATTGGAAAGCATGAAGCTTCGGAAGAAGAAAACATTCAAAGGTAACACCGTTGGAATATTTCCTTTTGATTTTTCTTTCCTTATGCTTTTAAAAAAAAATGTAGCTGAGCATATTTGTATACTTCTGTAATCCCTTTAAAACTTAATGTTGAGACGGGAAAAAATGGTGTCGATGGCAGAGGCTCTGTTCGTCCCTTTTGCGACCCAATCAAAGTTGTGACAAACACGGAGCAAACAGCAAGAAAAGTCACCTGGGATCAAGATGAACAGAAGCACTACAACTAACGAGAGAAATAAGAAATAACCCTATAACTGTAGAAGGTAGGAGGGGGTGAAGATGCAAGGCGGCCCGGTCCTGAGTGGCTGGTGGGACAGAGTAGGACAGAGGCTATGTATGGCAGCAGCAGCTGACAGCTGCAGACGCCTCTTAAAGGAGCCGTGTCTGTGAGCAGACTTTCTCACTCTGAGCACCAGCGCTGGGTGGGCTGCACTGAGGGCACCAGGGATTTACAGGGGAATACTGAGTTGTCAGAGTGAGGGCCAGAGGCAAGGCTTTCTCCTGTACAGACGTGCCTGAGGTACCCATTATTCCTCTGTTGAGCCCTGCCCCCTACCCAGTGTGCAGACTCAGCACTGCCATAGTAGAGACGTCATCAAACTGGATAACAGAGGTAGCTCTGCCCCGAGGATTCCCTGAAACTCTGCCTCCCCCAACTCACAGACCCACCCAAGCCACATCTAGGTGTGTCCTCAGCGAGTCAGATGCTCCTTGCTGAGCAGAGCCAAGACTCACACTGGTGACAGCTGGCTTCAGTTTCTGGTGTGGTTTCTTGTGGCAACTATAATCACAGCATCTGTGGATTGCTTGCTGAATCTTAACAGGTGGCCCCGGAGGGGCACAGGCTGGGGCTAAACTTGACCTGCAGCTGAACCCCTCTCAGGACAATGCCACTGGACACCTGCTACACAAAGCCACACTAATAAGACTGGGAGACTTAGGAGCTTTGCTTAGTATATGGAAACAGTCACAGAAAGGCAGCCAAAATGGGAAGACAAAGAAGCAGAATGCAGAGTAAAGAACGGACCAAAGATCCAGGAAGAATGGAGTCAAGCAATCTAACAGATGCAGAGTTCAAAACACTGGTTATAAAGATGCTCAATGAATTTATTGAAAGTGTAGGTGAATTCGGTGAGAACTTTTAACAAAGAGATAAAAAACATAAAAATGGAAATTGTAAAAGGGAACTAGTCAGAAATGAAGAACACATTTTCTGAGGTAAAGAGTATATTACAGGGAATAAACACTGGATAAAGAAGAGGATCGAACCACCAATATAGAGGGTGGGGAAGCCAAGGACACTCAATCAGAATGGCAAGATAAAAGAAGCCAAGACTATAAATAATTTAAGGAGCCCATGGGACACAATTAAATGTAAAAATATCTGTGTCATAGGGGTACCCAAAGGAAAACAAGACATTAAAGAGCTATTTAAATAAATAATGATGGATAACTTCCCTAACCTAGTGAAGGAAATAGACATACCCCAGGAAGCTCAGAGAATCCCAAGAAAGAGGAACCCAAAGAGGCCCACACCAAGACACATCATAATTAAAATACCAAAGGTTAAATACAAAGAGAGAATCTTAAAAGCAGCAAGAGAAAAGCAGTTAGTTACCTACAAGGGAGCACCCATAAGACTGGCAGCTAACTTCTCAAAAAAAACTACACAGGACAAAAGGTATTGGCACAAAATATTCGACGTGATGAAAACCCAGGATCTACAACAAAGAATACTTTATCTAGCAAAGCTATCATTTAGAGTCGAAGGACAGATAAAGAGCTTCCCAGACAAAAAAAAAAAAAAAATAGCTAAAGGAATTTATCACCACCAAGCCAGTATTACAGGAAATGTTGGAGGGACTTCTTTAAGAAGAAAAAAACATTTATCAAAAACAAGAATAAAGAATGGTAATAATTACATTCCTATCAACAAATACCTCAAATGGAAAAGAATTAAGTGCTCTAACCAAAAAGAGTGGCTGAATGGATAAGAAAACAAGACCCCTGCGTGTGCTGCCTACAAGAGACTCACTTCAGGTTAAAAGACACACACAGACTAAAAGGAAGGGGATGGTACAAGATATTGCCTTGATGGACCTGGAAGGTATATGCTGAATGAAATGGATCAGATAGAGAAAGACAAATATTGAATGATTTCACGTACATGTGGAATCTGTAGAACAAAATAACAACAACAACAAAAAATGGAAAAATAGAAATAAACTCATAGATAACAATTTTGAGGGCTACTAGATGGGAGGGGTGTTTGAAGGGACAGCGAGAAAAGGCAAAGGGATTAAGAAGTACAAATGGATATTTGCAGAATAAACACGGAGATGTAGAGTGTAGCATGGGAAGATGGTTAATAATGTTATAATATGTAAGGACAAAGGGTTACTAGATTTAGTGGGGTGATCACTTTGTGAGTTATATAGATCTCTTATCACTATGCTACATAACTGAAACAAATACGTTATGTATGCCAACTATAATTGAGAAAAAAACTAATTGAATTGTACAATATAAATATGAGCAGCTAATTGTCTATCATATATCAATAAATTTGGAAAAAAAAATCCTTAATGTTATAGCATCAGCATTTTTCCTGTTATTAAAAGCCCCTATAAATATAGTAAATGATCTTAATGTAATTCTATTGTATGATCCATAATATTTATTCATTTTCTCATTTAAGAATGTTTAGTGGCTTTGTGTTTGTTGGTTTGCTTGTGCATTTATCATTTTCTATATTATGACGTTCTAATGGATATTTCTGACTATAAATCCTTACATGAATTTCTGATTATTCCCTGAGGTATATTCCCAGGACTGGATTTTGGAGTTAAAGGGTGTGGGCACTCTCGAGTCTCTTAATATATACGTATTACTGAATGATTTTTAAATAATAGAGAAGAAAGTAAAAGTCATCTGCAGGCCTATTGCCCAGAAATAATTTCTGTCAACATTTTGGTTTACTTTTTCCTAGTTTTTTCATATATGTATATACTTATGTACATACACATATACATGTAGTTTTAAAAAGCAAAACTTAGATCGTAATTTATATGAGTTTTGAATCATACTGTATATGAGTTTTGTATTTTGCTTTAAAATATCCAAGGAACATTTTCCTATTTTAATAAATATTCTTTGAACACATGAATTTTTAACATGTGCCTAATACTTTTTCCTTTGTCGTATTAATGTTCTATGCTTTAATTACTCTCCTCTTAACATACAGTTTATATCAGTTTTGCGTTGTTACAACTCTGCTGAACATCTCTGGAACATTAATTTTTGTCCTTATTATTCCTTAGGCTGTATTTCTGAGAGTGAAATTACCACATCCAAAGTGTGAATATCATTCAGGCTGTCAATAAAGATTGCCAAATTTTCACAAAGATTGTGCCAGCGCTTTGATTATCGTCCTTATCTCTGCTTGCTACTGTAGACCCAAAGGTTAAACTGAGCTCTAGGACATCTGTCTGTAACTCACTAACCACCACATCCCATTTACTTCTCATGAGTAGGATTTCAATTTCCCAAACCTGAGGTGATCTGTCAGCTGGAGCAGTGGGAAGACCCATGGATCCTGGATCTACCAAGAGCTGGGACTAGGAAGTCTTCCAGTAGTGCTTGCCCAGGTGGGTGAGAAGACCCAGTCAAGTGGAAATCATAAACAGGAAGGGAAGTCACATTAATGAAGCCCCTTCTGTGGCCCAGATACTGAGCCAGGTGTTTCGCATATCTTCTCCCACTTCATCCCTACTGCCCTCTGAAGGTGGTAGGTTTGACCATCATCCCCATTTTCCAGATGAAGAAACACATAGCTTAAGCTATCTATCACACAGTAGGTTGCTAGTTGGTATTTGATTTCAAGTCTACAAAGCTTATCCTCTTTCTACTGCAGTAAAGTACTTCCCTGAAGCAGCCGGTTTGGTGTTTTCTGACTGCTGTTATGCCATCCTAGATACTGCTTTATTCTACTCTCATTACTTACCCTTTCTACTTTCTCTTGTTTCCCTGCATTCCTTTTGTTTTCCACATTCCTCGGTATTTCTTGATGTACCTGTTTTTTTCTACTTACTAAATCCTGTTGCTGCTTCTACCCCTTCCCACATCCCTTTACTCCAAAGTTTCTCAATTGAAGTACTTCAACGTTTTGGGCTGGATAATTCTTTGTTGTGGAGGAACTGTCCTGTGCATTGTAGGATGTTTAGCAACATCCTTGGCCTTTACCCATTAGGTTCCAATAGCACCATCCAGTTGTGACAACCAAAAATGTCCCTTGTCAAATAATGGCCCCCGAGAGGTAAAACTACTGATCGAGAACCAATGTTCTGTTCTGTTAGCTTTTATATCTACTTCCCTCTGATTCCTTTTCTATTCTATCTTACACTTTCTCCATTTTTAAGGAGCTGTTTCTCCCAGAATTATTAAAAACATGCTTATCTAGAAAGTATAAGACGCTACCTCTCCTACATTTATGTGACACTACTGAATACCCATAGTAAGTTGTTGGGTAAGTTGGGTTCGTTTGGTTCTCATGTTCTCTGACACACTTGTTCATTTTTTAGTTGATTGATATCAAGAGCTCTTTCTGTTATGAAAGCTGAGAGTCCTATAAAAAATCAGAATTTTGGCCTCTTTAGTATGATGATATAACTAAGTAAACATGTCTTAGCTTTATTTGAGTATCTTATATCACAAACAATTGGCTTCTTTTCCCTTTTTTCTTCTGCAGTGGAGAGGTCGGTTATATGTTTCCTTTTTATTTCACTAGGTTCAGAAGCCAGATACCAGATGATAAAGCTGATTCCAAAGCAGAAAATTTCTGAAGATTTAGAGTCATATAAGGTATCAGTGATAAAGCAGAAGATGGCAAAGACGTCTTCAGAAAAATTACTTAAATGTAACAAATTTGTGGACATTTACAGAGTTACACTCCCTACTGTTGGTGATGAATGCAACCAGGACTTCCTTCAAAACCTTTACCTTTTTCAAGATCAGAATGCTCAAACAAGGAAGAAGCAGGGCAAATACAATGGATATGGAAAACCCTTCTATCAGAGATCATTACTTTTGAGGCATAAGCAAATTCTTACAAATGCAAAATTTTATGAATGCAATGAATGTGAAAGAGTCTTTAAGCGTCAGGCAAATTTTGTTCGACATCAGAGAATTCACACTTCAGAAGACCCTTTTGAGTGTGACATATGTGGCCAAGCTTTCAAACAGAAGTCTGCTCTTACTATCCATAAACAGTGTCACCCTCAAGAAAAGCCATATAAATGTCATGACTGTGGAAAATTTTTCCGTCAGATGGCATATCTTGTTGAACATAAGAGGATCCATACCAAAGAAAAACCTTATAAATGCAGTGAATGTGAAAGAAAGTTTAGTCAGAATTCAACGCTTATTCGACATCAGGTAATCCATAGTGGAGCAAAACCCCATAAGTGCCTTGAATGTGGGAAAGCCTTTGTTCGGAATTCAACCCTTAAGAGCCATCAACAAATTCACAGTAAACAAAACACTTACAAATGCAGTGACTGTGGAGAATTCTTTGGTCGGAATATAGATCTCATTCAGCATCAAAGAACCCATACCAAGGGGAAATTATTTGAATGTAGAGAATGTGGAAAAACTTTTAGTTTCAAGTCAAATCTTCGTCGACATGAAGTCATTCACAATGGAGAAAGACCCTATAGATGTGACAAATGTGGGAAATCTTTCAGTTGGCGTACAAGCTTTATTAAGCATCAGGGCACTCACAAAGAGCATATATCTATGTGAGACTAACCAGGAAAGCTACCATTTAAATACCAGAACTTAACCGTCATACAAGTATGTATAGTTTGATTGTTTGATGAAAATTAATAAATAAGAACTGAACTTTTTTCTGTGGGGACCCTCTTTTTGTAGGTAAGCTTGCTGTAATCCAGAATTACTTAATAGACAATATGATAGGCTGTTATGTCCAGTTTCCCTTGAGACCTCTATACCTCAGTTCCCCCAAATCAAGTTAAGGCAGAAAGGAGACATTGTAGCTTTGCTCTGTGGTCCCACAGGCTGGAGACCATTTAATGGATCATGAATGATTTAAGAATGCCTTTCTTGGTTTCATACAGAAAAGATGACCTGGTATTCATAGACTAAAAGTAAATGCCACTCACTAGTAGCTAGTGCGGGAGTAAGAATTACTAAAATTTATTTATAAAATTAAATTAGCATGCTACTACATTCTACTGTAGGTCACCAATACAAGAAACCCATTTGAAATTCTAATAATCGAAACATCACTCTAGGTCTGCATTAAAAATTGCTATTTAGACCCTGTCATATCATTCAAGTCCCCTCTAGTTTCTTCTTTATATTTATTATTGTTCCCACCAATTCCATTTCTTACCCAGCATATAAAAGTAAAAGAGTTCTATTGAGAATGAGAAGAAAGCAAATGGCACCCCATAAAATTGAGGACTCTTAAGCCTTGCCGGAAGAAAGTATTGATTAGTGTTAGATTGTATATTGGGTTCAAAAATACCAAATCAGTATTTTTGTACTGGTTGTCATGAATTGGCTAGAAGAAAAGACTGCAAAATTGTATTTCCCTAAGCAAAATTAAGAAGTTGAAACTTCTCACTGATGAAGAAATAAGCCATTGAGAGAGAAGTCTCCCTTAACACAGCCTTGGGAGATGGGGACCTATGAAAAGCAGAAGAGGGCTTGAGTACACAGAGGTCTAGCCCAGGCTATTAAATCTATTCTGAAAAAAATAAGTAAGTAAATCTCTCCTATTCCTATAATGCACAAGCTTCCAGCTTTCCAGAATAAAGAAGGCACAACTAAAGGATACATGAAACATGGCTATAATCAGCCACATCTCTCCCAAGAGGAAGAAAAGAGCTGCACTACTCAATATGCTAACCACTAGCCATATGAGGCTATTTTAATTAAATGAATGAATGAATGAATAAATAAATAAATTCCTCAGTCAAACCTCACTTTTCAAGGTCAGCACAGATAAAGAATGTTCCCATCAACAGGAAGGTTTATTGGACAGCACTGTAAAGCGCTCCTAAAGACTTCTTATGGAAACACAGAGAACTTGTATTTGGCTCCACTTCTTTCTCTAAAACTAAATTAAAAGGACTTCTTTTCTCGATATTAATGACCTCTATAAAATATTTGAAAATATTTTTTTCAGTCAAATTTCTGAGACTCAAAGGAGGAAGTAAGGGATGACACGGATCTGAAAGCCTTGCTGAACTAACTTGCTTTGGGAGAAAGGAGCCCCCACCTCAAGAAAGTAGGGAAGGCTTTCTGCCTTCTCTGAAAAGATAAACAGTTGTCAGACCGAGAGTATAGATTAGCAAAGTTGATGTCAGTTTGTTAACAGCAGTAAGGCAAGAGTTCCAAACTAGCCCTCGATAGAAGGTAATGGGGAAGAAATGCACAAGTTTTTGCGTTCTTATTTGGCTAATGGGATTGACCCATTGTCCTCCATTCCTTGGTAGACTGAGCAATCAGTCATTCAGTGAAGGTAGGGGGAGTCTGGCATCAACAGTCTAGAATATTCCACTGGATTAGAAAAGGCATATCTTTTCTTGACAAGATCACTGATGCTTTTTTCACCATATTTAAAGCAAGGGGAAAAATAAATACAAATGTTAATTTGCCTACTTTAGCTAAAAATGCTAAACTAGAAATTAAAAAACTATGTTAAAATTTAAATAAGATGAAAATTGATAAATGTTTTATTTTCTCATTTTTACATACTTGGGTTACAGTTAAGGAAAATCGCATGTAATGTGGCCATATGTATGACAGTTACGCCACTCACATTCAAGTTTTGACAATAGCTGTGTGAGTCTAGACATTGTTCAAACTCATTCTCAGTTGTAGCTTCATCAAGATAGATTCTCCATTTGTCAACATTTCTTAGCTGATGGAAATGAAGAAGAGGGTAAATTGTAAGCAAGTATAAAGCAAAAGTACTACATAAAATTCTAAAATAAGTTTTAAAATAAAGATGACTTCCTGGCAAAATAAATTTTCAGTTAAGTCCCTCTTCACCAAAAGTTAACAAACACTATGAGTTTTATGCTAATTATTCCTTCGTATAATGTACACATACAACCTATCTATGTCTAGACACTCTGTAACTTAGATTTGATTTTTCTAGAATTTTACACATGGATCATACTCTTGTTCTTTCACTTCACATGTGTTTTGAGAAACATCTGTATTTCTGTGTAGCTATTGTTCAATCATATTAATTGATACTGAGTATTCCATCACAGGAGTATACCACAATTTATGAATCTACTTTATTGATGAGCTTTTAAGGTGCTTCAGTTTGTGACTATTACGAAACAACATTTTAACGTGCCTCTAAGTTTCCTGTGAAAGACCTAGAAATAAGAGATGCATACATTCAACTTTAAGAACAAATGCCAAACTTTACTATATGTAACAATTTATACATCCAACAGCAATAGATGAGAGTTCCTGCCATTCTATATGTTTATCAATACTTGTTTTGACAGATTTTTTAAAGATCTGATAAACCATAAATTATGAAATAGTATCTAATTATGGCTTAATTTGCATTTCTCACTAATGTAATTGAGCATCTTTTCATCATCAAGGGCTGTGCTTCCTGTTTTGTCTTTTCCTAATCTTAATGTAGTTGAATTTATCAATCTTTTATGATAGCACTTGTTGAGTCTTGTTGCGATTGCTACCAATTTATTAGGAATTTGTTTTTGTTCTTCCTGGGCACAAAGCTAGACCACGTTTCACAGCTTGTCTCGTTCAGTGTGGTTAGGTGACTGAGTTCTAACTAATGAGGTATGAGTGGAGATGATGTGTGCCACTTCTTGGCTTGGCCCATAAAAGCCCTCTCACATTTTCATGCTCTTTTTATTCCCTTCCAGTTGACTAGGTTAGAAAACCCAGGGGATCTTAGAAGCTGTGTATTGAAGATGGCAGGGCTGCCATCAGATTGACTACTTGGAGGAGAGCCACCCTGGCAGTCATGTATATGTGCCTTAAACTGTTACAGGAATGAGATATAAACAACCATACTTTTTGGATCTATTTTTTATCACCAACGATATATGTTTAAGATAGTCTTCATTAATCTGATATCAGAACAATACCTCCTATATTTTTTTCCCAAAAGACTTGAAGTGTTTCAGTAAAAAACTGAATTATTGAACAAATAACTAAGTTTGGTCTTTTAGCAGTTTCCATCTGTTATGGGTTTAGTTGTGTATCCACCCCCCCCAAAATGAGTATGTTGAAGTCCTAAACCCCAGTATCTCAGAATTTGACCGTATTTGGAGATAGGACCTTTAAAAGTTGATTTAAGTTAAAATGAGGTCACTAGGATGGACTGCAATCTAATCTGGTGTCTTTATAAAAAAAAAAAAATCGGATAAGATTTATATAAAAGGAAAACCATGTGAAGACACAGGGAGAAGATAGCCATCTACAAGCCAAGGAGAGAGGCCTCAGAATGAACCAATTCCAACATCTTGATCTTGGAGTTCTGGCCTGTAGAACCGTGAGAAAATAAATTTCTGTTCTGGATGATTTAGTCCTGGTGAGGACTCTACATGACTAACAGAGCTGCTATGTCATATGGTCTTTCCTCTGAATGTATGGGGAGAGAGAATGTATGAGAAAGCTTGTTTGCTTTCTGGTGTCTCTTCTTAGAAGGACACTAATCCTATTGGATCAAGGCCCCACCTTATGAGCTCATTTAACTTTAATCACTTCTTTAGAGGTCCCATCTCCAAATACAGCAACACAGGGAGTTAGGGCTTCAATATATGAATTTTAGGGGAACATGAATCTTCATAACAAATGTCTACCACTACCTCAACGATATGGATAAATTTCAAAAATTTAAGTGAAATAAATTAGACACAGAAGAATACATGAATGATGCCATTTACATAAAGTACGAAAACAGGTAAAACTAACTGATGTTGCTTGAAGACAAAATAATGCCTTTGGTTGGGAGATAGTGATTGGAATGGAGCATGGGGCACAAGGTGGAGGGACTTTTGGGGGCTGGTAATGCTTAGTTTATTGATCTGGATGATGGTTTCATGGGTGTGTTCAGTTTGTGAAAATTCATCTAATTATTTTATGTTATAAATTGTACTTTATTAAAAGTTTTTTTTTTTTTTTAAATCCAAAGGGTCTGGTGATACAATGAAGGAGATACTTCCAAAGATCAAGATCTTAAGAAGCCCATCGCCTTTAACTTCAGTACTTTATTTCTTTGTTTATTTATTTTAAATTAAGTTTATTGGGGTAATGTTGGTTAATACAATTATATAATTTTCAGGTGTACATTATAATTTGACATCTATATATTCTATTGTGTTTACCACCCAAAGTCCAGTTTCCTTCAGCTACTATACATTTGATCCCCTTTACCCACTCCACCCTCCCCGTACCTGCCTATATTTGACCGCCTTTAACCATCTACTTCCCCCCTCCTCTCCCACCCCCCTACCTTCTGGTGACCACTAGTCTATAGTCCATGTCCATGAGTCTCTGTTTGTCCTGTTCATTTGTTGCTTTCAGGTTTATATCCCACATGTAAGTGATATCATGTGTAACTTCAGTACTTTAGAAGAATCGTAATCATTTCCTAATTCTTCAGGAGTTGCTGTCATTTGAGGAAGTGGCTTTGTATTTCATTAGAGAGAAGTGGGAAGACTTGAACTTGGCTCAGAAGGTTATCTACAGAGATGCAATGCTAAAGAATTAAGCAAACAGGTCTTGCTGGGTAAGGACCCTCTTTCCTTACAATTTGGCCTTGTGTGTTTCAGATATATATCCAAAATTTTATGTAAATAAATATATGTATTTATATTTCTAAATATATATAAAAATATCCAAGACCTATATACAAAAAAATATTCACAATCCTTTTATTTCCAATTCCAAAAATCCTAGAAGGTTTGAGGGCAAAAGTGTTTTCTCATAATCTATTTAGTTACCAAACCTGAGCTGACCTGAACTCATCTGGTGGTGAAATTAAAACTACTTATAGTTCCAAATAGCATTTTCATATTTGTACATTTCGTTCCAGAAATATTAACTGTATTGGCCCAATCCCCTATATGGTGTTATGTAAATACCCTACCTTTATAAAAACGGAAAAATTCTGGTTTTTGAAACACATGTGACCCCAAGGCTTTGGATCAAGGATTTTGGACCTATGCATAGTGGAGATTTTGGAGCTCAGAGTAACATTAACCTGCCCACCCACCTCCACAAGAAAGGGCTTGAGAAGAACGCATGTCACATCAGTAAAAAGTAGCAGCACTATTATTGGATTTACAGTTACCCACTCCAGGGACTTTCTTTCCTCCACTGCCAGATGGAAGCCAGAAAACTCCCTGATAAAGCAAAAAGGGGTAGCTTTTGGTTGTATGGATAACTAATCTGGAAATCAGCAATCTAGCCTGACAGACTGAATCACAAGTAGTACATTTAGCTATAAGAGAACTAGAGACATGTCCTAAAGGCTATTCTTGCTGTGGCCAGTAGCTAAGCCGTATAGTCCAGCAAGTAAGCATTGGGCAGTTACAAATAAACAAAATGGGGAGCCCAATTGTGATAAGCCCTTTGCTCACCAAAAGAATCCAACATGGATTCTGAAGGGGACAGGAATGCTAAGATAGATTATCTAGTCCAATTATTCGAAGTGGCAAAGTGGCTCTCTGGAAATTCAAGATGAGTGGCCCACAGAGTTCCCCAAGCCATGCTGTTATTATCCAATGATCCTACATTCCATTATGACACCTACTGGCCCAACGATGGTTGCCAAAGACTGTTCAGAATCCTGCCAGAAGGTAAGCATGTGGGAAACAGGGACTCACCTGTTCAGCCTCAGCAGGCCCCACTGCATGTGCCTGGTAGACAGCCCTGCCCCACATACCCTCTGGGAACCCAGGGTGCTTGGCAATCCTCTGGTCCCTCACTTTGGTCAGGCCTCTGTCCCTGCAGTTCCCACCAGGGGGCTTCAGGAGCATCCCTCTTAACTGTGCCACTGTGCCAGAGACCTAGAAGTCCCAAGCAGGGTGCAGGACTTTCCAGAACAGAACTTGAAAATTTCAAAACAAAGACATTAAAAGATAATAGATTTTAATGTTATAACTCTCCCAGCTCGAGTCAGGTCTCTCACCTTGTTAGCAAAAATCTAGATTTACCATTTTGTTGGATGCTGTTCTTGGTGTTATAGGAGCATACAAGTAGTAAGATGGTTTCTCAGTTATGGACTGAATCCTGTCACCCAACACCATGAATTCATATATAAGTCCTAAACCCTAATGTTACCGTATTTGGAGACAGGGTCTTTAAGGAGCTAATTAAGGTAAGTGAGGTCATAAGTGTGGGGCCCTCATTGATAGGACTGGTGTCTTTATAAGAGGAGTAGATAACAGTTCTCTTTCTGCTCACCACACAAGAAAAGCCATGTGAGGACACAATGAGAAGGCAGCTGTCTACAGGACAGGAAAAGGCACCAAAAGACACCAATCCTGATGAAACCTTGATCTTGGACTTCCAACCTCCAGAACTGTGAGAAAATAAATATGTTATTTATCCATCCAGTCTGTGGTATTTTGTTAGGCATTAGAGCAGAGTAAGACACCCTTTATAATCTAGGGATCAGAGATGGCATATACACATTTGCTGTATATAGTCACTTGCGAATAATTTGGGGTAGGATAATAGAGAAGTGAAAATTTTAAATTGTTTTACAAGAGTGAACTTTTTCCTTTATTAATTTGGTGATTTAGAAGCTGAGAAAAGGGAGCTGAGATTAAAAGCAGAATTATCTTGACCAAAGATAGATATGTGGGAAATTCAAGTATGTAGGTTACAGTAAATGTCTATAGAAGGTAGAAGAATGGAGGGAAACTAAAAATGGAGAGAGTACAGTCCATTTTAAGTTTGCAGAGTTCCTATAGTAAAAAGAACACTAGGATCAGAACCCCTACCAGGTTATATATATGACTCTCTCATTTACTAACTATCTGACCTTGGGCAAATAACCTTTATAAGCTCGGGGAAAACCAGTGTGATACAGCTCATGGCCTACTTAAACTTTTTACCATCAATCAGCTCTCTTAAACTTGTTGGGGAGTCAACAATTATACCTGGATTTTTGACTGCATGGAGGGTGTGAGCGCCCTAACCCCCCGATTGTTCAAGGGTCCACTGTAAATAGATCACATAAGGGAATATAGTAATTTTTAATCTCAGCTCCCTTTTCTCAGCTTCTAAATTATTGGATGTTTTCTGAAACATCCTTCTAATGTGCTTATAGCCCCTTAATTTAAAAAAAGGTTCAAAAAGAATTTGGATGTAATACATGTTATCAGCGTACAGAACTAGTAGGAGAGTAAGACAGATTTGAGCTCTAATCCAAGTTTTTAGTTGTGCCTACAGCTTAACCCAACAAGGAAAGAATGCAAAAGAGAGGGATTCTGCAAAATTAATTTTTTTAATTCAAATATATAGAGTGGCTCTTGTATACACTGAACTATATGAGTTGTTTTGGATGATAAAGTATTTGCAATCCTCTCTGCCATCTAAGTAGAAAGACAATTCTGAGTGACCAAAATTAATTCTTACGGAAGTAACTAGAGTGCGCCAAGATTTGGTTGTTCAAGAGGAGAGGTAGGAGAGTGATGAGACAAGGACAGAATGTCGCATGTCAGCCCTCGCTCTTATCAGAAGTCTCCCCAGAATCATGTTGGAGGGGCTTCCAACTGATAGGTTTCTCCTTCTTTGTAATACTCTTATCAAGTATGTCTTGAGACTTGAGTCAGAATGAATCTATCTTGGGTGTGATGCCCAAGGAAATATAATCCATGATTGACTGAAATACTCCACAAGCCAAAGAATGCAGTATTTGGGCAATGAAAAAACAAAACAGTTCATGCAAAAGTATGTCAAAATGACAGGATTTTATTTCTATGGATCCTTTGGTGTCGGATAAGGTGTGGACTCTGTCTAAAGCTTTCTCCACATTCAAGACATTTATAAGGTTTTTCTCCAGTGTGAGTTCTCTGGTGTGTAATGAGGGTTGCACTCTGACTGAAGCGTTTCCCACACACAGAACATCCATAAGGTTTCTCCCCAGTGTGGATTCTCTGATGTTTACAGAGGTCAGAGCACCGTTTGAAGCTCTTTTCACATTCTTCACATGTATAGGGTCTCTCCCCTTTATGGATTCTCTGATGTCTAAAACGGTTGGAAATACGGCAGGTTTCCCCACATTCATTACATTTATAGTGTTTCTCTCCTATGTGTATTTTTTGATGCCGATTGAGATGTGAGCTCTGTCTGAAGCTGTCCCCACATTTGGGACACGTATATGGTTTTTCCCCTGTATGTGTCCTTTGGTGTTTAATTAGGGCAGCACTCTGACTGAAGCTCTTCCCACATTCTTGGCATTCGTAGGGTTTCTCTCCAGTATGGATTCTCCGGTGTTTAAAGAGGTCAGAACGCTGTTTGAAACTCTTCTCACAGCTTTCACATTTATAAGGTCTTTCTTCACGGAACTGCCTCTGAGTCTCAAAAAGGCCTGAACTATGAATGCAACATTCATCACCATTAACAGATCTCTCTACTGTCAGGCCACGCTGACAAAAAACAAAGTGTGAACTTCTGGCACTATTCCCAAATTCATTATTTTTGGAGTCTCCCTCTTCCGTTGGACCATTCTTGAGATCTGAGATGCTGGTGAGTCCTTGCTCTTCTGGAGAATTTTCAAATTTCAGTGATGAGGGGGTTCCTGACTGCTTTTCTACCCTGTCCTCATGGGAAAACAAGGGAGCCTTCCCCTGGGATGCTTCCTGTAGCTGCCTCTGTGGCTCTACTTCTAGAATTTCTTGCTTTGGAATCAACTCTTTGTTCTCAGTTCTGGTTTCCAAACCTGAAACATTAAAATACAAATTACTGATATTTCATCCTGTGCAAGAGTAAAATAAGCAAGTACTAGCAGAAAAATGCACCCCCAATTTTTGATCTCCATGTAACCACTTCTGAAGTTAAATTGTTTTAGTTTAGTTAACCTGTCAGATGTGCTCACATTTAACTGTACAAACCCTGTTTCTTTGTTTTTATACTTGTTTCTGCACCTACCAACCCATCTCTTCTCCCCCACCCTACTCCACTGCTGTATTAAGCACCATATTATGACACATAAATTAGGAAGGGGTGTCAAGAGAGCCAGTATAGCCTTTATCCAATGTCTGAAGGATGGTTTAACAAGGGAAATTCTATTCATGTGATGAGTTACAGTATTAGATATACCAGATGCCCCCAATGTCTGAAGGCAGGGTTCGTGTGGGAGATAAATCTGGGACTTATTGAAAGTCTACAGAGGAACAGTCAAGACAACAGATTATATCCCCTAATCCAGAATTCTTGTAGTTTACTCTCCAGAAAGGCTTAACCAGATAAATTTTGGATCAGGGACATCAGGAACACCTAAGAATAGGGGAGAGTTACTGCTGTCACATCAGTTCAATCAAGGGAAAACTGACACCCTAATTGGTAGAACTTCAATGTACTGTCTTCTCCTCAGGCTCAAACTATTGGTTCCAAGCTTATGTCCTCTAGGCAGAAAGGGCAGAAATTTTTACTGCAGAGATTTCATAGGCTTATTCCCTATTGTATCCCCACCTAGAATAGCACCTGGCTTACTGCAGACACTCAAAATATTTGTTGAATATCTCTCTATGGTAAAATTTACCAGCCCAGGTCAAAAAGACCTAGAGACATGGCACAAGGAAATTCCCACGTATAACAGCACCTGGATGGCCAACCCTATACTGAAGATCACCAGTTTACAAGTCTTTTCTAACAGAGATTCCAGTCAGAATTCTTATGTTTGACTATTAAATACAAACGAAAAGTGAAAGGTCACCAACATTTCAAAAAAACTTTCAATAGAAATGCCAATGAAACATGCAATGCATGAAATGAGAAAACTTTAATAACGTATAATTAATATTCTCAGATAAATAAGAGAAGACATTGCATCTAGGAAATAAGGAGGCTATAACAAAAGGAATATTTAAAGAAGAAAAGCTCTTGAAAATATTAATGAGAACAAAAATATTTCAGTGTAAGAGTTAGAAAATAAAGCTAAGGAGATCTATCTTCTAGAAAGTGAAACAAAATATAAAGAAATGGGAAGGTGGTGGAGAGACCTGACAAGATCAGTCCATGAGTTCCAACATGCAACTGAAAGAAATCCCAGAAAGAACACAGTAAAAATGAGATAAAAATAAGTAGATAGATAAAAAATACTATAAAAAATTCCTCACAATTCAAAGATATTGGTGTCTATATCATAAGGCCCACCAACTACTCAGAACAATGAATGAAAAAAAAAAACAAAACCTCACACTAAACCATATCCATGGTGAAATTTTATACTAGCAGGAATAAACAAAAACTCCTAAGGGCTTCTACACAGAACAAACAGATCATACACCAAGGATAGAATATCACAGTGGCATCAGATTTCTCAATAGCAATACGGCAAGCTAGCTAGAAAATTCACTGTCTTCAAAATTCAAAGGTAAAATTTCTAACGTAGAATGCTATATCCAGCCACACTATGATCCAAATGTGAAGGAAATAAAGACAAACTCAAAGTCACAAAAATGTTAGTTCCCAAGTATATGGAACACACTGAAAAATGTTCTCCATTAAATTGAGAGGGTAAAACCAAGGAAGAAAATGGCATGGGATCCAGGAAAGAGAAAAGCAATTCCCATGGTGATAGTGAAGGAAAGTTCTAGTACAATAGCTGAGTACAGGTTTAGAGAAGAAGCCTTTTCACATAATGGCAAGAGGAAGCTTCAGAAGGAACTCTCCAAGGGGATATGAAAATGATGGCATATCTGCTATATGTGATGGCACGGAGAGTTTTACATTTCTAACAGCTTGTGGGTAAACTAGTGTGTTCAGTAGTTAGAAAATGAGAAACATGCAAAACAAGGCATTTTTTAAACTTATTAAAATTTTTCCCTTTATTAAGTAATAATTCAATTATAAAAGGTTAGAAAATATTTAACTGATTGTTTCCTTTTGCTCATATTTGGTATGTTTTCTTTTTCTAAATTAAGTTTATTGGGGTAACATTGGTTAATACAATTATATAATTTTCAGGTGTACATTATAATTTGACATCTATGTATTCTATTGTGTGTTTACCACCCAAAGTCCAGTTTCCTTCAGCTACCATATATTTGATCCCCTTTACCCACTTCACCCTTCCCCCTTTCCCCCCTATATTTGAGCCCCTTTACCCCGTCTACCTCGCCCCTCTTCCCCCACACTCTACTCTCTGGTAACCACTAGTCTATAGTCCATATCCATGAGTCTTTGTTAAAACAAGGCATTTTTAATTCAAGAGAAAACTAAAAGCTGTAAAAGAAAAGACATACAATCATGTGTACTATGTGAGTGAATACAGATAATATTTTTATAGGCATAATATTAAAACATTATATTACTGAACAAAAAGACTGATTTAACTATAATGAGAGAATTACAGACTGCTAAATGTATGAACATTGTGGGACAGATTTTTGACTTCCTCAGTCGGCAGTCAAGAGATAATAACTGCAGGTGGAAAATCTTATTTAGAAATATGAAAATAAGTACTACTGGAAAGAGTTAAAAAGATTTTAAATCTGCTGTGTCTGCAAAGTTGGAAACAGGATTGAGAAGGGCCTGATATTTTCTTAAGAAGATTTGAAAAATACAAACCAGTAAAAGATTGATAAAACTGACTATATTAAAAAAATTTAATTCTATATAACAAAAGATGTCATAATGAAAAGACAAGCCACCTACATAACCATTAAAATAACAAAGGATTCATATCAAAAATATAAAGAACAGCCACAAAGCAATTTAAAAAAAGACAATGGAGGAAATAAAGATATAAACAGACAATTCACAGGAGAGGAAACCAAAATGTCTAAAATATATCTGAAAGATATTTAACCCAGCAGCAATCAGGGTAAAGCAAATTAAAACCACCAGATACCATTAATCTAAATACTATTTATTCAGCATCTATTCTGTGCCAGGCACTATTCTAGGTACTTGGAATATATTAATGAACAAAACAGTCAAAAATCTTTCTTCTTGTGGAGCTGATATTCTAGATGGGGTGGTCAGACAATAAATAAACGTAAAGTAAATTATATAGGATGTTAGAGCCTAGTAATGCTATGGACCAAGTCAAGTAAGGCAAAGGATCAGTCAGCAGTGTGAGAGAAAGACAGATGTAGGCAAACTGCAGTATTAAACATGATGTTCAGGCCTCACTGAAAAGTGAAATTTAAGCAAAAACTTGCAACAAGTCAAGGATTTTGCATAGTAAAAATCTGAAGGAAGAATATTCCAGGCAGAAGGATCAGTTAGAGCAAAGATCATGATGCAGCAAGGTCAGTGCAGTTGGGGCAGAGTGAATGAAGGCGAGAGTAGGAAATGAATCAGTGAGGTAACAGAGCCATGTCACATTAGGCATCACAGGCTTTTACTCTGTGTGAAGCGAGTATTGCAGGTTCTGAGCACAGGTGTCACATAATCTAATACTTTAAAAGGAACACTTGGACTACTATGTTAGGACACTGTGCCATCAACTGAACACCAAATGTTAACAAGAATGGGAGAAAGAAGATTCCTCATGTATTGCTGGAGTATCCTTTTGGACAGCAAGCCGGTCAAACATCCGTAAGTATATTTTCTTCAGAAACTCCTACATATGACCACAGGAAGAAAGATACAAGAATATTCACGGTAATACTGTTTGTAATGGTGAAAAACTAGAAGCCTTAATGCCCATGGATAGGAGAATGGATAAATGCAATTTGGAATAGTCATACAATGAAATATATAGGTGTTAAAATGAATAAACCAGAGCTACATGTATCAACATGGATAAATCTCAAATATTTAACGTTGAGAAAAAGGCAAGGTGCATTGGAATCATACACTAATATAATTTATATACCATAAAACATGTGAAAATATGTTTGCATGTTTATATGTTTGCATGTTTATATACATGTTTACATATACATTTATTTATATGTGTGTATATGTATATGGGGAAAGAAAAGAAGGGAGAAAAAATATGTATGTGGCTACATGAATATGAAGAAAGAATATAAAACACACATGGACATGATATATACAACAGGATATTGGTTACCTCTGGAAAAGGAGCAAGGGCAACAGTTTTCAGGGAGAGTACACAGGGCTTCACCTATAGCTGGAACATATTATTTCTTCAAAAAAAAATGAGGCCAGTATGGACAATATTAAAATTTGATAAACCTGTGTGGTAGATACACAGGTGCCCATTATATTTTTTTATACTTTTCTGTAGGTATTTTATTAAAAATGAATTAATAAGCTGAATGTCACCTAGCAATATAGAACAGAGAAGTCTTGCTTGGGTCACAAAAAAGACTCTAAGGCTCTCAACTTATATCTGTGAATGGCAGAGTGGCTCAGGGATTGGACTTAAACAAGCCCTTCGCAAATCACAAACAGCTAGAAACAAGCAAAATAACAGCACTTACTTGGTGGGGCTATGTTCCCATAATCCTTTGGTTTGCTCTCCCTGTAGAAGACCCTCTGAACTGGATCCAGATGCTCCCACTCCTCCCAGGTTAGAGAGACAGCCACATCCTTGACATTCACCAAACCCTGAAACAACAGGTGACCTCTCATCAGCACCTGTTGTCCCAGAATACCCTTACCACTAGTCTCAGGATGAGGCCTGACTCCAGAGAGGCATCGGCCAGCATTGAGAATAAAGTAACAACCATGGCTGTTGAGTCTACCAGTGAATCTTATACTGATGGGTCACTTTCAAATTTGGGATAAGAGCAAACATTCACTTAAGTTATATCACTGTGATTTACCAAAAGAGAAATATGAGATAGATTAAAAATGTACAGATAACCAGAGTCCCAAGTTCCAATGCTGGCTCTGAGACAGTTTCCTCATGTACGAAATGGATACAAACGTCTACCTCAAGAAGATGAAGGTGCCTCACCAACAGCAGGTGCTCAGTATAATTTCCTTTCCCTTCCTTGACCATTGCCCAGTAAGATAATTATCCAACAAGATGATCTTTTGAGATGGTTTATTTAAGTGTAAGTTGACCATTCACAGACGGTATAGCCGCAGTTCTAAGAAAGGGAAAGTTGTAAAATTGATGCAGGGAAATGGTTGTCTAGGTCCCAGTGATGGCTTGCAAACTGACTCCAAGGATCTCTCACTCAATAACAGAGAAAGGGAATGTATTTTTTTTCCTGTTATGTTTTATTATATTTTGTTATGTTTTGACATCTTAAAAAAAGAAAACCTTTGTGGCTAGGGAGAGCAAATTCTTAGAGAGACAAAGGGCTCAGCTAAGACTGGGTAATCTAGAGTCCTATCTTCTCCATCTGGCCTTTACACCCCAGGAGGTAACATTCCTCAGCCTTAATCATCCCAAGGCCAGGTACCAGGCAACTAGGGACCACTGCTATAATTTGCAACCCACTGAAATTATTCAAACTAGTCGATCCTACTGTTCACCCTGCCCTGCCCTTCCTTTCCCCGGAAACCCCAAAATAGGCTCTGGCCTAAACTTTCCCCTTGCTCCTGTCATCTGCCTGACCACGCTGGTGTCCTTCCCATTAGGTTCTGTGTGGCATGTGGTACCTCCTGTCTCTAGGACCTGACTGTAATAAATTTTTTCCTCTTGAACCCCTCTTCTGTCTCTGTGTAAAGGAAAACTACACTCCTGTGTGTCTCCTCTACTCTCAATACTCTGAATACTTCACTACACTACTTCACCTCCAACACCAGATGTGTTTGTTTCCACACATCAAGCAATTCTGCAACACCAGCTGGGTGCTCAATTCCGATACTACCTACCTGGGGATGGACTCATCCCTCAGATTAAGGGCTCAGTCCTATAAGACTGCTCCCCTCCCCAACTTCTGATGCCAATTGCACGGCCACACAACCTGTTTCTGACCAACCAGCTATAGATCAGAGGTTCCCACAACCCCCTCTTTGGGTTTGATTAATTTGCTACAGTGGTTCCAGAACCCAAGAAAACAGTTTACTTACTAGATTATGAGTTTACCATAAAAAGATAAAACTCAAAAACAGCAAGATGGAAGAGATGCATAGGGCAAGGTCTCGGAGGGTCCTAAGCTCAGAAGCTTCTGTCTTCATGAAGTTAGGGTGCCCTGCCCTCCCTTTAAGTTGGGAGCTACCAACCTGGAAGCTACCCGAGCCCCATACTACTGGGATCTTTACGGAGCCTTCATCATATAGATATAATCAATTATTAACTCCATTTCCAGCCCCTCTCCCCTCTCTGGAGTACATTCTCAATTGTGAGAGAAGCGAGTCTCCAAAATGTTAAAAAGTAAAAAGGGATCCTCACATTCAAAGTGGTGAGGAATTACTGTTCTAGCATCTGAACTTTCTTTCTCAAATAATGCAGTTAGACAAAAGGATGTCTAACAATGATTAAACGATACTCTTGTGTAGGTTTTGTGCTGAGAGGTCTATAACTGAAGGATCATTTCCTGGATGGACTGTCTATCCATCTTATCTACTTATCTACTGGAAGTTTCATGAACATCCTAAAGTTCGCAAAAAATATAATGAAGAAGGAAAAAACTTCTGAAACTCATAGCATCCCATTCACCTCCATTCCCCCAACTCCCACCATCAGCTCACTCACTCCTCACCTGGGGTGAGGGCTCACCCAGTGCCCTCTGAAGAGTCCGCACTACAGCCCCTGCCTCCTTCCCACTCTGGGGGCAGTGCTTCCGCACCCAGGCCTGCAGCTCTGGGGGCAGGATGGCCAGGAACTGTTCTAGTACCAGCAGCTCTAGAATCTGCTCCTTCGAATGCATCTCAGGCCTCAGCCACCGACGACAAAGTTCCCTGAGCCGGCTCAGTGCCTCTTCTGGACTAGCCACCTCCTGGTAACGGAACCGCCTAAAATGCAGTCGACAAGTTTCGGAATCCTGACAGTCCCCGGGCAAGTCGGACTCCAGACCTCCGAATGAGTCTTCCTCCACTTTCACTATCAAAAGTCCATCACGCAAGGGTGGCGCGGCAACCTTGGCCCCCGCCTCAGCGTCACTGCCTAGACTTGCGGTCAATATCGAACTCATCTTTCTCTGGCACGAGTCGATTTCCCTAGAGTTTTTCCTTCAGGTGAGAGAAGGGCAAATGCTGCAAAAAGCCGTGGAACCCATCGGCCCTCCCCAAGCAGGGGCGCACCCTGCTCGGCTCCCTCCTAGACTTCTCCTACTCGCAGCGGCGCCGCCTAAGGAACCCCTCTTCTCGTGACCAAAAAAAAAAAAAAAAAGAAGAAAGCTCGTAACCCAGGGCGGAAATGCGACACCGACTCCCTGCGGTGCCCACCGCCTGGGCATTTCCGGGGTCTCTCTAGGCGCACCGGAGGAGCGAAATGCATCTCGGTGGTTTGCCGTTTTCACCCCTTCAAGGGATGCTCTAGTGTGTGCACTTTGCTTTAGGGAGCTTATAATCCTTCAGGTTACTCTTTTAAAAAAGGATACTCTTCATTTAAAACTTGAATGTTATTCAGCCAGGTGGTATTCACTTATACAAGAAAGGTTTGTAGACTATGTTCTACATGTCAAGGCATCATGCTTGACACTATAGATACAAAACTGGAGAAGACACAATCCCTGTCCTCAAGTTGTTCATAGTCTCTTGAGACAGACACTATTCTCACTTCTGAAATCTAAGACCCCATTCCCAGCCTTTTCTCTTTTGTACAAAATGTCATATCTACCCAATGTTACCTCGCTGTCTTTGGAATTTCATGCATGTGCGAATTCCCTGTCTTTGGAATTTCATGCATGTGTGAATTCCCCATGCGCATGTATTAAAAACCTGATTTTTATCCTGTTAATCTGTCTCTGTTAATTTGGTTATTAGCCCCTCTGGAACAGCTTAGAAGGTAGGATAAAAGGTATTAATTTTCTTTTTTTTTAGCCCCCACAGTGTACACATACTCACAGGTGACAAGGCTACATTGGGCTTTGTCTACAGTCAGCATAAGCATTTCCTGGGATCCTGTTAGAAATGTAGAATTTCAAGCCTTACTCCAGACCTAATGAAGCATAATATGCATTTTAAAAAGATCCCCAGGTGATTTGTACATGCACTTAATTTTGAGAAGCAGTGATCAGATGAATCTGACAGTAAAAAATGTAGGTAACTTTTTGTACATATAGATCATGTGTAGCGTACATAAGACTTATCCACTATCCTTCATTATCTGTATTGCAGTTCCCTGCTATTATTACACATATCCTATGACAATGTAAAGCAGAGTTGTACTCCAGGGGAAATTCCGGAAGCAGTAAGGCTCTACATGTAGGCATCTTGCCTCTGAGCATTTGAAACTAAGCTTTAATTCAGTTTGTAACAGGAGTAAGTGGCAAATTGCAATTTTAGTCATTTATTTTTTTTACTTAAAAATATTTTATGATGATTTGATCTTGACTCTAGGACTCTATTACATGTGACTGTAACTTTTAATTATAAGATGTTTGAACATATATAAAATACCAAAGACTTATTTTAAGTATCATGGAAATAACTGAACCTTTGGATCCCATGTATTCAGAAAAGTCAGAAGCAGATAATAATCGAGCTAATAGTGGAAGATTTTTTTTCTAGTGTTTTTTTCTTGCTTCAAGAAATAGAATATATAAGGAAACTAAAATAAGCATCTTTTGCATGTTTCATATCCACTTATATTCAATAATGTTCAGGAAAACAAATCATGTAATACTATGCATTAATTCAACATTTACATTAAATGAATACTACTCATTAACTTAACATCTATATTAAATCATCTTCATTTAACAAATGAAGAATTATCAAAGTTATGTTATAGTTAAATTCATTTTTAAAATTCATTCGAATGAATAAAATTAATGTTCTGATTTATGAATGCAAAGTCCGAGTGTCAGAATTCCATATGACATCTCTATGGACTAAAGTTTCAAATATAAAAAATGTGCAAAGGCACAGTTAGTCAACCCGTACTTCAGGCTTTAGCAGCTAAGTGATTGTACTAGTTTGTTGTGTACTAGTTTGTTTTGATTAGACATTAACAGAACATGAAAAGGCAAAGGCAGGGTTTTCAGGATTAATTTTTATGCTAAATCCACTTCTAGAAAAACAAATTCACTACTCTCAAGGCTCAGATTTGCCATTTTAGAAATTTGGAGCAATATGTAATAATTCAATGACATAACTCGTCACGTTTATATCTGATCTCTCCAAGTGGCTTGAAAGTTCCTTAAGGACAGAAACTGCACAAATCTACTTCCTCATCTGTGTGGAGATGCTATCATAATCTGGCAGGAAATCAAAAGTTCTTTTTCCAGTATTGCAGGACAAGGCTTTAGGAATGAGTGAGGGAATTAAAGGGCAGTACAAGCATTTTTCCTCACATCCAGCAAGAGAAGCTGTAGATTCTGTCTGCTCACCAGCTGATTACCAGTCTGTCTCTGGTTTGGGCTGTGCACTCTGATTGTGACATACTGAATTTCTTAGCGCATATCTCCCTTTCTCCTGTAATGTAACTTTTGCCGTCATCCCTAGAATGTCAAGTGCTTTAATTTGCTCTCACTTATATCATTGAATGGTATATTTCTGTGTTCTTAATGCCATTTTTGGTGCTTTGTACACAGAAGTTAATGGAAAAATGCTAGTTGCCTCACTTAAGTGAGGAAATAATTAAGTGAGAAAAGGAAAATAGGGCAGGATAAACAAGATGGAGCCAGGAATAAGATGAGATTACAAATTGCCTACTGTAAGCTCCTGTGTGCTCATAAAAGATAGCCCACAATTAGGCTTTAAAAAGTGTCAGCAGCCAATGCAAGAAAAAAAGATCAGTTACATCATTTGCAGTGTATCTTGGGGAAAAGCAAACTATTAATAGTGGCTTAGGAGAAATCCAGCTATTCTTGGTACCAAGAAGGAAGAGAAATTTTCCTTGAGTGCTCAGAAAAAGAACACTACATGACATAATGTACAATATCTTAACAAGATCTCCCAAGTAAATAAGATTTAAAATTTTTAATGTCCATTTACTGTTAGCTGATGGTAGGTATCAAAGCACAATTCAAAAAAGCTGATTCTGTGAAGGTAGAAGAGTGTAGTTTAAGTACTCAGCTCTCTTAAGTCCTGGTTTAACATAACGACAAAATTCAACGTGCCTCGGGCAAGACTTTTCAGACCTTTTGCCATGCCATTCAGGCTGATGGTTTTATGAAAAGTCCATTCCCAGAACTACCTGGATCATTACCCTTTGCTCTCCTCTTAAGATAATATATCTTATCGTGGTATATTGTAAAAAGGGCCACAAAGGTTTGAAACAAAAAAGATAAAATACCAGGAGAACATTTTGCAGTTCCTCCTGTCAAGAAGTTAAGTTTTCCCCCACCTTTTGAATTTGGGCTGGCCTTGTAGCTTGCTTTGACTAACAGAATGTGGCAGAAGTGATATTGTGTGAGTTTTGAACCTAGGTATGAAGAACCCTTGCAACTTCTGCTCTCTTGCTCTTGGAACTTGCCATCAACAAGTGAGCAAATCTGAGATAGCCTGCTGGATGATGGGAGGCAGATGTCTGAGTTGCCACGTGCACTCCAGCTGACCATCAACCAATCCCCTAAAAGCTTAGCTTACCAGTAGCAGACCATAGACAAAAGGAGACCAGCAGAAGAGCCACCAAGATAACGCCAGACCAAACTGCCAACCCACAGAGTCATAAGCTAAGTAAATGGTTATTTTTTTAGGTCACTAAGCTTGGGGGTGGCTTGTTATGCAACAAAAGCTAACAGATATACTTTTAAAAACTAGACCAACCCAATTCCAATATTAAAACAAGATAAAATATTTAGAACATAAAAAGACATGTGCAAAACCTATGTGGAGAAATATTTTAAAAGCTTCCAAAGGATCCAAAAGTAGGCTATTTTTCCACAAATGGAAAGACAAACCATGTTCTTGGGTAGAAAAATCAACTTTGTATGGATG